CTGTGCCACCTGCTGGCCCTGTGACTAGTTACTTGAATTTTTTTTTCTTTTTTTGGAGAGGTTTTTGATATAGGGTGCGTGCGCTCGCCAGACAGACAGAGAGAGACAGAGAGACAGAAAGTGAGAAATCACCCCCTAGGGGGGATGGCCACGCCGCAATCCCTTCTCCTCCATTCTCCTCTCAGGATCTTGGGCATGCATGCGCACGCACCCAGCGTGAGTTTAAGCCACTGGGTCCAGGACCTGAGCTGCGGTCAACTACATGAGAGTCCAGCAACATAGCCATTACGCTAATTGCTAGACCCTCTACTTACTTGATATTAAAGTAGATCCCTCTTTCTTGTCTTGTCCTTGCTCACATCCAACCTGATGGTTGCAGAGAGAGGACTATTTACTGGGTCATGACCCATTTTTGCATAGAAAAACATAAAAGTAGACATCATGACTTTCCCAATGACCCAATATTTCCAACCACGACTACCTCAGATTCCAACTTCTCTGACGGTGATGAATTGTGAAACTGAGCCAGGATTGTTCTTTAGCTAGTCCCGGTTCACACTCACTCTCCATGGGTCTCCAAGAGGCCCAGACACCCAGCAGTCCTGAAGTACCCAGATCAGAACCGTCTCTGATGTCTCCCAGGAAAAGGCCTCGCCCTCCCTGGACTCCACCCAGAACCTCTTCCTTCCCTTCTTTCCTCCTCTTTGTATAGTTTCCGTTGTATTTCCCGATTTCCATATAAGAGTTGTTCCTCTCTGTGGGGAACACTGGTTGTCTTAGGGCACGTACGTAGGCACGCAGTGACCACACCGAGGAAATAAACACACTCACCGTCCCGAACACCTTCATTGCTTTGGGTGATGCGTATTTGGAACTGGGCCTACTGGTCGTCTGGAAAGATCTCTGAAGCTGTCACCATGGCAGAACTTCTTCCTCTGGCGTGGCGCCCAGGCCCTCCTACCGCCTGGACGAGTTGCTTTCTGTGTACACCCCTCCCTCTCGTCCACTCTGGCTGCCTTGGTCCCTCATGCAGCGAAGGCTGCTCTTGTGACAGTGCCTTCGGCCGTAGTTCCTCCTAGCCTCCGACGTCCTTTCCTCTGATGCGGTCTTTCTCTCTTCACTCCCGTGACTTCACAAATGAAGGCCTCCACTGCCTGACACGAGTCTGGAAAACGGGGGCAGCAGCCATGTCACCTCGCTGTCCAGCCCACAACCCCACTCTGAAGGAGCCAGCCCAGCCCGTGTCCCAGGCCTCTGCCCCAGGAGGCAGCCCAGGTGGCTCTTGTGACCTGCTCACCACGGTGGTACACGCCTGCCCCTTCATCCGGGTGGTGTCAGCGTGGCCGACCTGGGGACGCTCTACCAGGAAGACAGAGACGAGCAACCCAGCAGGGCCTGTCTGGTGACAGGTATGGCTAGGGCTGGCGGTCTAGTTGGGTTATTCGAGGTAGGTGTGCTCCGTAGGTCCTCGAAAACTTCAGTTAGCCAGGGCTGAACCATAAGTCCTGGGGAAATTCATGGTTACTCTCCTGTGAGCCTCTGGTCACAATATTAAGTCAATCGATTAATACATAACTGCATTTTCTATGTGTTTCTGTTTAATACATAACTGCATTTTATATTTGCTGGCCCCTCTCCTCCTGTTGTATAGATGACAGCTACCTCATTGCCACCCTCTGACCTGGCCTCTCACTTTTTTTTCCTTTTTTTTTTTAAAGTTTACTCATGTTTAGGGAAATCTCAGGATGTGAACCCAGGATCCTTCCCATAGAGTCCAAGGATAGTTACCACTGTACCGCGGCCTGGCCCTCAACCCCCTATTTGCTAGATGAGGACTCCAAGACTCAGCAGGGGGAAGCGATTTGCAGAGATGGCCAAGAACGGAAGTTTCAGAGTGTTGACACTCCCCAGGGTGCCCTCTAGCCCACCAACCAGCTCTTCCCTGAGAGAGAACACCCTCCCTAGCAGCTTGGGTGAAGCCCTCCGGATCTTTCTTGTAGAACAGTCTGCAGGCTACTCAGTAGGAAACTAACGCAATTTGTTTTCTTTGCCCAGGGAAATACTGTGCTTGTTTTCCTGAAGGAGCGCAGTCAGTCCGGAGGGGTGTGGGGTGGCTGGCGGCATCACTGCTCAGGGGAGGCTTCTCACCAACAGCCACAGCGGCAATTCCCCGCTGGGGTCAGAGCAAGTGTAGAAGTAAAGGAAGCAACCTGGGTCTGGAAGGTGCCCTGAGGACTGCAGGGGGGAGCGGCGGCACTTAAACACTTCTCCAGCAACAAGTCCTAGGGGAGCCGGCCGGGCTTGACTTATTTTCTCTGGCACTCTTAGAGATCAATGTTTTCTCACACTACATTCCGCGTCCTTGCAAAACAGTTTTTCTGAAACCTCTCCCACCTCTGCCTTCTCACTGGATTTCCTCCGCCCAGTCGGGGGTGGGCTGCTTGGAACAGAAACATGACTGAAAGAAGGCATTTCAGGGCCAAAGGGGCCTGGTGGTTAAGGTGGCTGGATCCCACATGGCCCACGGTGCGGCCCAAGTCCTGGACCCAGCGGCTTAGAAAGCACTCCAGGCCCTTACGTGTGCATGCCCAAAATCCCAAGAGGAGGGGGGACTGCAGTGTGGCCATCTCCCCTGGGGGGTGCTTTCTCACTTCTCTCTCTTTCTCTCTCTCTCTCCCTCCCTCCCCAGTGATACACCCTGTGGCAATTTTTTTAAAGGGTATTTCAGAGAGGAGGGGCAGACCTTTCTGGGCACCCATCCTGCTCTTCCACGTGATCGAGTGTTGTCATCGCCCTGACAGGTGAGGCTCAGGGCAGGACTGTCTACAGTCGCACTGCTTGGGAGTAATGGGTAGGATGCTGACCTGTTGCCACAGCCTAGGTCATCCCAAAGGTCCTTAAACCCACAACTAAAACACCCGCAGCAAGAGTGGGGGAGTGACCAGAGCCAGTAGACACAGCCTATGGGATGTTCTTCCTGGCCATTCACCAGGAAAACTCCCTTGTCCTTCCACCTGGTCGGCTGGCACTGCCTCTCAGCTATTGCTGCGCTCGTGGGTCTGGGTCCAGCTGCCCGCCGGCACTCCCAAGGGTGCTAGCACTGCACTGCTCTCTAGGGCACGTGCTGTCCCACTTGTCCACACAGCCCCTGAGGTCAACACCACGTCTGCTGCGTACTCCTACACCCCCAGCAAACTGTTCAGCATGACACTGATGGCACGCGACCTGTGATGGCTCACCTTGGGATGCTCCAACTTTGAGATGGTGTAAAGGCAGAACACTTTCAGTAGAAACCATTTTTTTTTTATTTTTTCCTTTACATTTTTGCTATAGGGTACATGTGCTCGCTGGAGGGAGGGAGACAGTGAGAGGGAAAGTAAGAAATAACCACCTCGGAGGGGATGGCCATTCCACAACCCCTTCTGCCCCATTCTCCTCCGGAGAATGCACACAGGCACGCATATGCACCCAGCGTGATTTTTAAACCACCAGGCCCAGGATTCAAACCACAGTCGGCCATGTGGAAGTCCAGTGGCTTAACCACTTCACCTGCCAACCAAGCACCCAGATGACCATTCTGCTTCTTCACTGTCACTACAGCAGTCAGTGCATTCCATGAGAAATACAACACCTCATTTTAAAATGGGCTTTGTGGTCCAGCCACTTGGCCACAGTGGTGATGCAAGTGCCATGTGGCTGACCTCGGGTTCAAATCCCCACACTGACCTGAGAACACACCAGGCCCACATGCGGGCATCCAGGATTCAGATGAATTTCATTCATTTAAAGATTAGGCTTTGTGTTAGATGATTTTGCCCAACTGTAAGGTAAGTGCTCTGAGCATGTTTAAGGCAGGCTAGGTTAAGCTGTGATCTTCCGTAGGTTAGGTGTAGTCCATGCATTTTCAATTTACAGTATTTTCAGCCTGGAATGGGTTCATCAGGACACAACCCTATCTTAAGCTGCAGGGTATCTGTAGCGTCCCAGGGAACATTTGATGAGTAGATGTTGACTGTAGCGCAGTCTCTGGTCCATGCATAAATTGCCTGTAGGTCAGACCTGCTGGGATAATCCAGCCTCTACACACACAGCACTGGTAACACGATGTTTGGAAAACGAAGAAGCCAGCCCTCCGTGTGCAGCCCACACCACACCCATCCGACCCACGTGGTTTGCACTCCAGGCACACTGACTTCCTTGAGTTTCTTAAACATGCCACCTCCACATAGCACAGGGCCTTTCCACACGTGGTTCTGTCTACCCCGTCTCCTGCTCCTCCCGGGGCCCTGGCTCCGTCACAGCTCACGTTCTCATAACACTGTATGCCTCCAGTTCCCACCACTTTGCACACGGCTCGCGTCTGGTCACCTGTCTCTCATGCACGAAGGCAGGTCTGGGGCCTTCTTGTTTGTGGACCCGCATTTCTCTAGCATCTAGCGCAGTGGCTGCATATATGATATTAGAGGGCCAGTACATGGTGCGTGGTCCATGAAGTGGTGTGTAAATTGAAATGGAGACCCACGTGAGGCACAAAGCATTGCAGGCAGCAGGGGAAAAACTGGGGGGAAAAGAGAGAAGTCATGAATTATCTGAGGAAAGAGACACCTTGTTGAATTTAAATCCAGATGAAGACACCGTGGCTGGGCACTGGAGGATGAGGGGGCAAGTGAGGGAAGGTGAGACCTTAGAGAAGCAGGCAGGGCCAACGATGTGGGTCTTACACAGTCAGTTCAGGCTTTTGACTTGATCCTGGGGATGATAGGAAGTCCCCAAGGGGCTTTAAGTAGGGTGGCAGTTGTCCTCTGGGAGTCCTATAACCCACGCTGTCAGGGCCTGACACCGAAGCTGGCCTCTGGGGCCAGGCCTGCGTTTCCTGTGAGCACACATCAGGAGTCTTCAGGTTTTTCTGAGTCTGCTGTCCTTACTTCTGAGGTCACGGCAAGCTTTCATTGTGACTTTGGGCTTGGCAACCTGGGGTAACAGACAAAGCCCTCCTAGCAAGGAACGTCAGAAACAGCAAGAGCAGGGAAGCTCTCCAGGTACCCCCTTCCGGGCTGCAAACCCTAGCTCAGGCTGGCAAAGTCCAGTTTAGACATCTTGGAATGTGACCCAAGACTGTCACAGACCGAGAAGCCGGCCTCGCCCCTCCAGACAGTAGGCTTTGACGACCCTGTCCCTTTATTTCACTTTGTGTTTCAATTTCCCTCGCTGCTCCTTAGTCCTCCCTAATTCCAGTTTAATGGAACAACATTTTAGGGTGAGCCGGTGATAAAAGAGGTGGAGAAAAGAATTTTCTTGCTCACTCCAAGTACATAATCGAGATGTCTTTTTCCCCAAAGAAGTTCGTTTTGTTTCCTTCCTGCTAGCTGAGGTAATGGAATGTCTATCTGTTGTTTACACGTATTCCCCAACTGCCAGGAACCCAGGGTTTGCTAAGCATTTGAAAGAAAAGGAAACCTCTACTTGTTGATTCTTTCAGACTCACAGCAGCCTTCTGCTTCCAAGCAATTGTCACCAGAAAACGTGTCAGCAGAGGCTTCTGGAGCTCAATCACAACAGGATGACAGGTACTCGGGTTTGTGTTCTGTGCCGTGTTCCCGTGATGTTTGCTGATCTGGGGGTGTTTCTTCAATTTCTTTCTTTTTTATTTTTTATTTTGCTGTTGGTCTATGGTCACATGTATGAAAGTAAATCCCAAATCATCAGCTTTGCCTTTATCCCATTACATGCTATGAAGTAAACATCTAGAATTCAATTTTAAAAAGTATTTCCCTCAATTTATAGATCTTAGGAAATCAAAGTGAGGAGCTGTTAGATTTCTTTTCCATATTTGGTTTATATTTGTAAAAAATAAAATAAAACAGGCATCAGCAGTTGGCATAATGGCTATGTTGCTGGACTTCCATGTAGCCGACTGCAGTTCAAGCCCTGAACCTGGTGGTTTGAATTTATGCCGGGTGCATGTGCATACATGCCCAAGATCCCGAGAGGAGAGTGAAGGAGAAGGGATTGTGGCATGGCCATCCCCCAGGGCAGCAGGGGGGGGTGGGGAGGGTGACTTCTCGCTGTCTCTTTGTCTCTCTCTTTCTGGCGAGCGCAGGCACTCTATAGCAAAATAATAATAATAATAATAAAATAAAACAAATGACAACCAAGACAAAGAAAGGAAGATAGAGAACTAACAGAGGAGAAAAATTATTATATCTTTTCTATAGCTCTAGTTCCAATCTTGAAAAACCTGTTTTTAAAAGTTAGAGCGAGGTGGACCAGCAGTTGGCATGGCGGTTAAGGCACTGGACTCCCACTTTGCTGAACACAGTTCATGTCCCAGAGCTGGAGACTTGAAAGTCATGCTGGGTGCATGTGTATATGTGCCCAAAATCCCAGGAAGTACAAACACCCTATGGCAAAAACCTTAAAAAAAAAAATTAGAGAGAAGTTGGCCACTGGTAGTGTGGTCAAATGCAACACCCTGCAAGGCTGACCCACATGGGAGGGTCCTGTGTTTGCACCCAGAGGCCTCCTCAAGCGCATTGGGCAAGGGCAGGCCATGTCCGGGGCTGGCTGGGGGTGGGTTGCATCATCAGGACTTTTTGGGGGGTGCCCTCTATCTCCTTGCTCTCGCACTCTCAAAAGAATTAAATGAGTCAATTCTTAAAAACAATAATATTAAAATGATCGATTTGCTTTGGAAACTTAAAGAAAAACAATGCCTGCCCCAAAGCAATTCATCAAACCACAGAAGAACACAGTGCTAAAGCCAAAGACACATGGCCCCTCATCAACAATGCCCATGTGCTCTCTCCAGGGTCACATGGACTCCCCCACTCGCCACAGGAGCCTCAGCCTCGCTGCAGACTTCTGATTGGCCCTCGTCTTTCCGTCTTACCTTGAAAAAGATAGAAAGAGGCCACTGGTGAAAGCTTCTGCCGAGATCCAGAGAGATCCTGCCTGGGGTACTCCGTGAGGCTTCCATAATGCCTGTTTCAGAGCACAAAGGAGCCAAATCGAAGCCAAGGCTTAATAAATCCATCAGCTTCCAGTCTTCCTTGCTTCCCCTTCCAGATGCTTACACAAACAGCTCATTTCAGAGTCTTACCAAGGGTGGGTGTAAAGTTCGCCATCTATGGTAGTGGAATGGCTTCCTGTCTCTGAGGCTGTGACCAACTGGCCCATCATCAGCACCAAAGAATTCAGCAAGCCTAGTGCTTGCTGCTTGGGGAGACTGTCCCCCCACAGCAGAGCCTCCCTTCTCATTTCAGGACTCTAACAGGGAACAGGCCTCCAACAGTTTTTTGTTTGGATGAACACAGAGTCTTCCAGAAATGTGTTTTAAACTCAAGGAAGATGCCAGGGAGATTTTAGATCTTGGGTTCAGGTGTGGTTCGTGAATCACCCTCAGTTACGAGAACGTGAGCTCGTGTCTCGCTCCCTCTCTCCACTAGCTGGAGGGACAGGGGCCTAGAGAGCCTGGGGGAGTCCCTGGCCACGGTGGGCTCCAGGCTCTCACTAACACCAAGTCCACGGGGGAAGCTAGCCCTCGGGACCGTCTGTGGTTGGCGAGCAGCATGTCCCCTGCCTGCCAGTCCTCGCCTGGGTCGGGGGTGCTCACAGCAGAGACTGGAGCTGATTGTGTTACCATCTCACTGACTGAACCCAGGTGCTCTGTTTACTCTGGAGTGCAAAAAACACACTGAGAGCTGAAGACTTCCATCAGACAGGAAACGGCATCACAGGGACGCCGACATCTGAAACCTGCCAAGGCAGGCCCCTTGGCAGACAGGGGGGGCCGTCCTGGGCTCAGGATGGAAAGGTGCCTGTGCTCCCACCCGGGTCGGCCCAGCTGGCTGTCGGTAACAAGCTCTCAATGTGCTGTCTGCCCTTGAGCCTCATGTTTAAACGCAGATGGCTAACCCTGACCCTGCCGTGCTGTCTCAAAAGAACGTCTATTGGGAAGCCACTCAAATCTCCCTTTAAAACTTTCTTTCCCCCCCTCCCCACCCGGTATAGTTCCAGTAGACACACAAACCCCCTTTCCTTGGAGCCAGGCAGTGGTGCCGCAGGAATACGACTGGACTCACAGAGGACAGGTCCTGGGGGCACACCTGGCACCTCCGCAAGCATGCAGGGACACAGGTGTGGCGACGAGCCTAGCCGGAAGAGACCGGATGGACCGCAGCATGGAGACCTGTTGGTGGTACCTGTCTCTCACTCTCTCATGGAAGAAAAAAACAAAGTTTTGGGTTGGTTTGGCTTTTTGCCAAAGGACGCGTGTACTCACCAGAGAGAGAAACAGAGAGTGAAGTGAGAAATCGCCCCCTGCGGGGATGGCCCTGCTGCAATCCCTTCTCCTCCTGGGATTCTGAGCATGCATGCATACATGCCTAGCATGAGTTTCAAGCCACCAGCTCTGAAATTTGAACCAGGATCAGCCATGTGGAAGTCCAACACCTTAACCACCCTGGCACCTCTTGGCCTCAATAAATAACTTTTTAGAAATGCTTTCCCTTGGGCCCGCAGGTGGTGTGGAGGTTAAAGCATTGATCCCATATGACTGACTGTGCAGTCTGAGTACCACACCTGGCAACTTAAACATTACACAGGTATGTGTGCCTAGGGTCTGGAGAGGAAAATGGGAAGGAATGGGCTGCAGTGTGGCCATCTGCCTGGGGTGGGGGTGCTTTCTCATTTTCTCTCTCTGGTGAGTGTACATGCCCCATAGCAAAAAAAAAAAAAAAAAAGGCCCAAACAAAACCTTTCCTTTATGCACACATTAATCACTCAAGAAAAGAAGGGCTGCCAGGTGCTCAGGGTACAAAAATAAGTAAACCCTGGAGCAATAGGCAAGAGCCTCGATCACTATTCTAGAATTTAGGAACCAGCAGGATGCATGGTGGCTAAGGGCGCTGGACTCCCACATGGCTGACCATGGTTCAAGTCCTAGACCTGGCAGCTTGCTTTCTCGCTTTCTCTCTCTCTCTCATCCTCACTCTCTCTGTCCCTCTCTGGTCAAACTGGAATGGATGAATAAATAAAGTTAAATAAAAAATTATTATTTGAAAAAAAAGAGAACTTATTGTATACAAAATTTACATGCAGATTTTTTTCTTTAGAGAGATTTTTCCTATAGGGCACACGCACTCGCCAAAGAAACAGAAAGCAAGGAATCACTGCATTGCCATCCTTTCTCCCCTGTTCTCCTCTTGGGATTCTGGCACGTACTCGCACACACTCAGTCTGAGTTTTTTTAAGCTGCTGGGTCTAGGACTTGAACTGCAGTCGACTAGGTGGGAGTCTAGTGATGTAATCATCGTGCCATCTGCTGGTCCTATAGCATGCAGCATTTTACCAGCTTTAGGTAAACTCAGAGTCCACATGGACACGCCTAGGAGGGCATCGCACTACCTATGCTGTAATCCGATTCACCCAAGGTTTCCTCTGACAGTGACGTTCCCCAGGCACGTCCAGCCACACGGGGCCTAGCAGCCAAAGCACCCTTCAGAATCAGGGCCCCAGTTCACCCTGCCTCACACTCACACACCCACACACACACACCCGCCCGGCCACGCGTGCCAGGACCTCACACCCAGCACGTCTAAAGGCACGGAGAGTGCTTCAGGAATGAAGAGCTGCCTGGACCCATGAGGGCGGGGCAAGCTACCCCGGTCACGACCTGCTGTGTAGACCACCTGCACAGGACGGCCCGACCTCCCCTCCGGCTGCCGGACTCCGGGAATTTTTCCTGAAGCCAGTAACCATTGCCAAAAACCCCTGGCTCTTTTCTGAGGAATTTGAACTTTACTTCTTCCCCAGTCAAGGACTTGGCCACGCAGGGGTTTGAGAGCCGAGAGCAGAAGGAAAAGGAGAAAGGAGGTTTGAAAGAGAGAGAAGGGAGGCAGGGCTGGACCCCACGTGCTCCCGGGACGCTCAGGAACCCTGGCTCTCAGGAGGCCACTGGGGTCGCCGCCTCCCCAGCCCCTTCCTCAGTCACTGTTCCCTCAGGGGACAGGACAGTCGCCAAGGCCGGGAAGAACATGTGCCTGTCTGGTCGTCTGCCTGGTCTCCTCCGGTCCGCAGTCCATTCCCTGTCGTGGCCATCAGATGGTGCCACGGTTCCACGGGTCACCACGGACCGAATGCTAGGTCTGGGAGGGGAACTCTGGGCCCTCCCAAGAGTGAGCCCCTGCCTGGTCAGGGCCCCATCCAGCTGCCCTCTGGGGGGAGTGCCCCTGTGCCTGGGCTCCGTGCAACTGTCCTCCCGCCAGCCCCATCTGCTTGGTACAAATTACTCACCTGCCTGGCTGGGAGAGCACAGTCCCCTTCCTGGTGCTGAGGGCAGTGGGGCTGTGAGGAGGGACAGCAGGGCTCCCCCACACACTCTAGACCACAAAGGGTCTGGTTTTTTGTTTGTTTGGTTGGTTTTTGTTTATTGTTTGTTTGTTTTAGAGAGAGAGAGAGGTTTTTTCTTTTTCTTCTTTTTCTTGCTATAGGGTGTGTGCATTTGCTAGAAATACACAGAGACAGAAAGTGAGAGATCACCCCCCCACACACCCGGGGGTATGGCCTTCCTGTAATCCCTTTGCTCCATTCTCTTCTCTCAGGATTTTGGGCATGTACACACGTATACTCAGTGTGTTTTAAGCCACCGGGTCTAGGACTTGAACCACAGTCAACCACATGGGAGTCCAGTGATGTAACCATTATGCCACCTGCTGGTCCCGAGGGTCTGATTTTAAAGAGTATTCCTGGGCCAGCTGGTGGGCAGTGGTTAAGGTGGCTGGATCCTACACGGACAACTGCACGGTTCGAGTCCCAGAGCCGACAGCTCAGGAAACACACTGGGCTCGTGTGAGTGTGTTCCCAAAAGCCCGAGAGAAGAATGGGGGGAGGGATTGTAGCATGGGCATCCCTCTGGGACTGCTTTCTCACTTTCCCTCTCTGTCTCTCTCTCTAGCAAGCTCATAAACCTTCTAATAAGTGCTTTTAAAAAAAAAAAAAAAACTTTAAGGGACCAGCAGTTAGCGTAAGGGCACTGGAGGCTTGCAAACCAGGCCTATCATAAGTGTGCCCCCAGGGTCCTGACAGGATGCAGAAACGGAGGAGGAGGGATTATGGCATGACCACGCCCTGTTGGAGGGTACTCCCCCTCTCCTCTCTGAGTCAGTCTCTGTCTCTCTCTGGCAAGCGCCATTCCCTCTGGCATTAAAAGAAAAAGTGTTCCTGACTCCCAGGTGCAGCCCCCCTTCACCCCCGCCTGCCCTCACCCCACTCCTGGAGGCAGGAGATTAGTGGGGGGTGTCCAGCTGATGAAGCGGCACTTGACACAGCAGTGAGAAATCAGTGGGCCCCACCACATGATAGAGCCAATAAGACAAAAACGGCGCCCCCAGCCAATGGCCAACCCACAGCTAGGTTAAAAACGATAAATCCCGCAGAATGCAACTACCAGGGTCTTTTGGGGACACTTCTCTGTCCGCTTAGGCCTGCTCCTACCACTCAGGAGTGTCCTTTTACTTTCACTGAATAAACTACCTTCTCCTCACACAATTTACGTGTTTCTTTCAAGTCTTTTCCCAAAACACCAAGAACCTGGATGTCATCAGAGAAGCCGTCCCACAAAACTCCCACTTCCCTGACGTGGGCAGGACGCGGGCATGGGCCTAGTGTTCCCTAAGAAAGGTCAGAGCCGACGAAAGGGAGATTGCACCCCCAGGACCACCTGTCCAGGAAGCCACATTTCCCAAACCTTACAGCATTTCCCTCCTAAAACCTCTCTGAGGACAGGCTGTTCTAGCAGCTCTCAGTCAATATTATTATAAATAAGTATTTAGCCAGGAAATTTATTTCTCTTCATCCCCGAAGGCATATGAAAAGGGTGACAGTGCAGAATCCTGATTCAAACCCAGGCAGCCAGTGCTGTGAGGACCCCCTGGCCTCAGGTCCGGTTCATTTCTGTATTCCGGCCAGAATACAGCCAGTTGTAAACAGCCCGGGGGCTGCTGATGGGCAGAAAGAGGAGGAACTAAGAAGCCCCGCTTTAAATAATTTACTGACAGCTTGAAGGATGCTGGTGTTTTAACTTAGAAAGCACAGGTTCTGGGACCAGAAGGTGGCCTGCTGGTTAAAGTGCTGGATCCCACAGGGTCGACTGTGCATTGAGTCCCGGACCCAGTGGCT